CCCCAAAGCCCAAAACCCCAAAGCCCCAAATCCCAAAAATCCTATAAACCCCGAAACGCCCCCAACCTCCCCCCCAGCCCCCCCTCAAGAAAAAAAGAACCCAAAGCCCAAAACCCCAAAGCCCTAAAAGACGACAGGCCCAAATCATGAGCGTGGACTTGGGGCATGAATTCTTCAAGGCCATTTTTTCTGAAGGGGCAGAGGAAAAAAAATTAGGGCTAGAGTTTGGAGTTTAGGGTTTAGAGTTTAGCGTTTAAGGTTTAGAGTTTAGGGTTTCTAGGGTTTAGAGTTTAGGGTTTGGGGGTGTTTTGCAGGGATTTAGGGGAAAGGGCTGTAGGGCCTCGGTCAGTGTTCTGAGTAGTTCTACAAGGACTTTATCGGGTGGGTAGTTTCCTACATTAGGGTCCCGTTTTACGTCTCCAATATAGTGCGGCACCCTTATAAAAAGGACCCTAAAAGGGACCCTGATTTAGAGAACTACCGGGTCTTGTGGGGCTTCTATAAACCCATGAAGGCCCCTGGAATCGATGAATCCCAAGACTCCCGGAGCCCCGGAATCAATCAAAGCTTTAATCATCTTAAGGAAGCCCCCCTGACAATTTCCAGGTATGTTCCCTCAACTACGGTGGATTAAACCCCATAACAGGCAGTATAACACCCTCAAAGGAGCCCTCAAAGAAGCACTAATTTAAGGTATAATCCTCAACTGAGTGGTTTTGGGGTCTCTGGGATTGAAGAGTGCCTGAAGCCCTTAACCCTAAGCCCGAGCCGGCTTCGAGGCCTTGTGTCTGGCTTTTTATAATTGGGACAAAGCCTGGAGCCTTCAAGACCCCCTTAATGGAGCCCGTGGGGTCCTTCAGAGTGGGTGCTTAGGGTATAGTAGAGGGTTGGGGGTCTAGGTAGCTAGGACCCGTAGTACCATAAGGTTTTGGATGTGTTTAGGGTTTTGCTATAGGGTCTAACGGGTTCGCTTTTGGAAGCGGTTCTACGTGCCGAGATGGTTGGCATGGGTTGCTAAGGTTGCCACTGGATGTTAAGGGCTTTCACGGGGTTGCATAAGAGCCCTAATCGGTTGAGGGCTTCATAGGGCTGCAGGCTTTCGGTGCTTCGGGCTTGAGTTTGTTGTTGAGTGCGCCTAGGCTATTAGGGCATGAGGGTTTTAGGGTTTAGGGCTCGTTGGTTGATCCAACTTCCAACTGTACAATGGTTGTAGAGTATGTTCCGATGTAGACCCCACATATCCTAAACCCTAAACCCTAAACCCCTAAACCCAAAAAAACTAAACCCCCCTGCGTGAAGCCTGTTGCGTAACTTATTGCAGATAAAGATGACCCCCACAATTACCCTTACACATCCTACACCTTGGGGACCCAGTGAAGGTTCAAAACAGGGGCCCTATACCTTTTTATACATGCGTCCATATCTGGTATGTGAACCTTAAACCCTTTTTGGGGGTCTTTTCGTCCTTAAGGCAGCTACTACGCCCCAAACCCTTTGCCTTACCCTTGAAGCAGAACCTATGGACCCTTTTGAACCCAGAGAGCCCAAGACCCCTGAAGGAACATAGCGTTAATCATAATAATAGTAAGCCCAACGCTAAACCCTAAACCCTAAATCCTAACAGTTATACTCCTTGATAACCCTAAACCCTAAACCGTTTCAGTTGTACTCCTTGATAACCCTAAACCGTGTCAGTTATACTCCCTGATTAAGGGGCCTAGACCCCTAAAACCCCAAACCCTAAAACCCTAAACACCTAAACCCTAGCGGTTATACTCCTTGAGTAAGGGGCTATCTTTAGAAAAAAGCACAAGCTGACGCCACGAAGGTCGCGCTGATGCGCCAGGGCGCTCTGGGCTTAGCCTTTTGTTGGCGGCTTCGGACGCTTTTGTTTAGGGTTTAGGGTCCAGGGTTTGGGGTTTAAGGCTTCGAAGGTTTTGTTTAGGTAGGGGTTGAGGGGTTTAGAATCTAGGGTTTAGGGTTAAGGGTCTAGGGTTTGGGGTTTAGGGGGGTTGAGGGGTTTAGGGTCTAGGGTTTAGGGTTTAGGGTTAAGGGTTTAGGGTTTGAGGTTTAGGGGTTGAGGGGTTTCGGGTCTAGGGTTTAGGGTTTAGGCTTAAGGGTTTAGGGGTTGAGGGGTTTAGGGTCTAGGGTTTAAGGCTTCGGAGGTTTGGTTTAGGTAGAAATTTGGTCTAGGGTTTAAGGCTTCGGAGGTTTTGTTTAGGTAGAAATTCCAGGGTGTAGGGTTTAGGGGTTCAGGGTCTAGTTTTTAAGGCTTCGGACTTGTGTGTAGAGTTTAGGGTTTAGGGGGTTTGGGTTTAGGGTTCAGGGTTTAGGGGGTTTGGGTTTAGGGTTTACGGTTTAGGGAACTCTACAAAAAATGTGCCCACCCAGGCCCTATTCTAAGCATTGAGACCGCATTTCAAGTCCAAGTCACCCCCCTCCAGATAGAAGGTCCCTATCTATGAGGCCATTCAGGTTCTATACATTAGGCCTCTAAGTTCGATGGCTGAGGTTCCCCTGGAGATCGTGCTGAACTTCCACTCTAAGCGGAAGACGTCCACGGCGGTGTCCTACTTTGAGGCTTTCGGGCAACTGCTTACTTCTGGGCTCAAGGGACTTAGTAAGCAGGGGTTGCATTTGGTGTTATAAATTATAAGTGCCTTGGGTAGGGTTTTCCTAATTCTGACCTTACTACGTCCCATGAGCCTTTAAGTTTCGGGTTACTGCTTGGTAGTAGGGCATAATGTAATTTTGGACTTTTTTGTTCATAGGAGATCCTGTAATACAATCCAGCAGGTTAATCTGCCCCTTAAACCCGAAACCATAAACCCCAAAAGCTGACCTTCTTTAGGGGTTTAGGGTTTAGGGTTTGGGGTGACCTTCAATTTTCCTTGGGAGATGGACAAGAAACCAAGGTTTCGGACGTTTGCTGCAGCCAGGGGCTTGAGTCGAATCAAAGTGGCAACTCTTAGGGGTCAGGGGGTTTTAGCTAGGGTGATCAGACCCTGCAAAAATGCATAAGGCTGATGCGTTTAGCAGAGCGTAAACCCTGGGAACACAGGGCAGGAGGATCGACTATGAGCAACCCTAAAACCCAAACCCTAAGCCCTCAATCCCAAACCCCAAACCCTGAACCCCACACCCTAGATGCCAAACCCCCAGACCCTAAAACCCTAAAACCCAAAACCCCAAACCCTAAAACCCCAAAGTTTAGGGTAGTATACACCAAAACCTTAAGCCCTAATTATTAGTCATCGCGGTGCTGTAGGCAAGCAGAGTCTTCGGAGACGACGCCCTGGCACATGTTGGCAAGGCCTGGCAAGCACCGGGTACCCAGAGCTTTGGGCCTCTGGTAGCGGTCTTTAGGGTTTAGGGCTAAACCCTACACCCT